TAAAATTTTTATGAAATGCTTTTCTTGCTTCTTGCAGGTTAGCAATAATTACTATCAGGCCAGCTAGGCCATTAATTTTTTTTGTATTTTAACACCTTTTTCCTGTGTGTTCTTGTCTCTGATTTTTGGCTTCGGTTTTGTAGTAGGTGGAAGCCTCTAACACACACTGTTTAAAGCATCTTTTTAATTGGATGCCATTCTCTTCTCAGTTTAACAATAATGGAAATGATAAGCAATCATATTTGCTTAGTCAAAAATAAAGTTATCCTTGCATGAGTATTGAAGTTTGCACACAGGATTTCTTCAGTATGTCATATAACTCAGTAGAAAAGCTCATTGTAGATATTTAACGGAGTTACATCATTTGAAAATGCGCCTAGAAGATCAAAGTCAACGTTCAGACAAGTAGTATTCATTGTGGTCTTTAAAGTGATCTTGGCCCTGTAGTTCTTCTTTGGTATCAGTTTAAAAATATGTCTTCTTTCCAGTTTCATAAAGACATGAATTTAAGATTTTATTCATCTGCTTTCAACACTTTGACCTTTAGTTCGGCAATTCTCCCATTTTTAATGACACCCTGTATGGCATGCTTTCAAGTTGAGGAAAAAGGATGGGATGGTAAATGAGACAATTAGCAGCCAAGGTTCAATGAAAATCATTAAATAAGAAGAAAGCCTGTGGAAAAACTTTTCAACATCACTTTAAAAAATAACAAGGAAAACTTTTTAGAGAAATTTTTAAAGAAATTAGGGATGACTTAAGCTAGACACTGATGATAAACCTTCGCTTTCTTCTCTACTTTAGAGTGCCATATTATTATCAAAGCCATCTGCCACGTAAGCCTGCAGTGCAATAGTAAAATAAATTTTTTTTATCTATTTTATACCGACTTAAACTAGCATAAGATAACATTGGGATTTATTGGGCACATTTATACTTTCGAAGTGGGTAAATAAATGAAACTGGCATTTTCTCATCTCTAAAAGACCCACCAGATGTTTGTTCACTAATCCTCTCATGTGACAGTGTTTGGTAGAGCTGAGAGGAGGGAGAGAATGGTGCTTTAAACGTTCAGATTATTACTTTACTGTTAACCTTCACACTGACTCAGTGACCAAGGGCAGATTAAAAGAGTTTATCTGCAAAAGGAAGCAAGTCGTCATTTATTCAAGAGGACAGGCTCAGTTCAGAAAACAATCAGAGAAACATTAAAAAGACACTTGGTTTAAACCTCAGTCAATGTGTGATTCTTGGTAATTTTTATATTAGATACCGAAAACATTTAAAACCTTTGGGCTGTTACCATTATAAACCATAAAAAAATGGCATTTGATTCAATACATGAACACAACTGTTTAAAATGTTTTTTTAACATAAAAATATGGAAGAGCTTTGATACTATTTCATTGGTTACAGCTCTATAGGGATCTTTTTCCTGCTTAAAGGTAAAACGACCCCTCAGCTTTTGACTTTAGCAGCCTTGAACTAAATCTCTGGATTGCCCTTTATTCTGCTTTATCTATATTCTCTTCACTTTTGACCAGTTTCCCTTTTCATCAAAAGAAGACTTCCCACAGCATGACTCTGCCACCATCTTGTGTCACTGTGGGGATCTTATGATTATAATGAAGTGTTAGTTTTTCAGAAACAATTCTTTCCAAATCTTTGTTTTGTCCATATGCAATTTTGGACCATAGTTGTTCTTAATAACTTCAAATAAAAATTAGAAAGAACAGTCCAATGGTTTTAAAATGCAGAAATTATTTTAAAAAACACCTGAATTTTTTTGTGTGTTGTTTGATGATTTCTGAAAAAGGCTAATACATGCGTCACAATTGTTTTCTTTTGAAATTATGCATCAAATTACTAACTGCTTTGTGTGGGATAATTGCATAAAATCCAGATAATAATAAAATTGTTTTTTTGTTTTTTTTTACTTAAAAAAGCTCAATAGGTTTATTTGATAGAGCAAATTGTGCAAAGTACTGTATCATCATGATGATAACTCTGTTTTTTATTTCATAAGCCTTTTTTTTTAAATATTGTTGATACTTTGTGTCAATCCTAGAGGGTTTTGGTAAAAATCAAAGTAACTTTACACTTCTTGTTTACAAAGTAAATGAACAGAGTACTGCATAAATTTGTTCATTTGGACGACAGCTGTAGCAGCTCAAAGTGCGATGAACAGTTTTTAAGAAGTACTGAATGTTATGTGTTTGCAGAGGAGAGATGAGATAAAGGAGCAGGGTTGGAGCTGCAGCTGAGAGGCTTTCTTAATTGATTTCACAGGGAGAGGAGCGTGGGTGGGGCACATGCAGAATATGGGGGGGCTTAATTATTAATGACAGAATCTGCAGATAAAACAGAGGGACAGAAAGTCTTTTTACATAACAGTGCATCGGTGCAACAGTGCGAGGAGTTTTCTCCTTCTTTCAGTCTTTCTCACTTCATCCAACCGGCCGACTGCTGGGTGCAGAGTTTGTTACTGTTTTTCTTGCTGCCGACTCGCGCTGTACGAAATGGAAAACAATCCATTTTCTCTTACTAATGTTCATAATGATCTTCTCCAGCTGTTAAAAGCAGCATGTTATCCTTTTCATCCCGCTTTGTACATTAGAGTCTTCAATTGTGCCTTCCTCAACATGTGCATTATTTAAAGCACTCACACTAGAAGGCTTTATAATCCTCTTTAGCTGCTGAACAGAGGTGTGACAGAAGAAATCTAACCCCAAAAAGAATGCGTATTGCATGTCTATTAATCTAAGGTCTTGCTTGGTGTAGGTCTGTTCCAGAGGGCTATCGCTCAGAGTGGCTCAGCTATCTCCAGCTGGTCGGTCAACTACGATCCACTGATATACACCAAAGTGCTGGCCAAGAAGGTGGGCTGCACCGTGAGAGACATGGCAGAGCTGGTGGACTGTCTGCGACGGAAAAGTTACCGAGAGCTAGTTGACCAAGACATTCAACCGGCCCGCTACCACATTGCATTTGGGCCTGTGGTGGATGGGGATGTGGTGCCGGATCACCCAGAGATCCTCATGCAGCAGGTGAGAATGACTTCCTTATTCCTGGTAAGATTCTATTCAACTGTGACAGAGCTCTTTTGCTCCTTTAACAACCGCTCTGTTTCTGATTACTGTATCATTCTGTTCTGACCTGGTTTTAGGGCGAGTTTCTAAATTACGACATACTGCTAGGGGTCAACCAGGGGGAAGGCCTGAAGTTTGTGGATGACAGTGAAGGAGAAGACGGGATATCAGCAGCTTCATTTGACTACACAATTTCAAACTTTGTGGATAATCTCTATGAATACCCTATAGGTGAGATCACAATTTCTCCTTCCTCAAAATGTCTAGCTAATCCAACACTGATATCTGTATCTGTCTAATTTGCAGTTTGAACTGTCCACGAACACCTTCCTAATTATAAAAAAAAAAAAAAAAATGGAATCAAGATGAAGAGGTTTATAAAAACGCTAGATATATTCTGTAATTCAAAACCTTGTAGAATCACTCGGAGAGGAAATAATTTGAAGTAATTTCCTGCTGGAATAGGTTATTATTCTCTCCAATGCAGAGAAATATTAAATCTAATAATATTACCTTAGGTTAGTCAGTTACGCACAGATTCTGATAACTCTCATCCCAGTATGGTAAATTGTGGTTTTTGACTGGACTACCCCCATTATATTTTGATTCACTTGTTCTATAGCAGATTTGGTTTGGTGCATAGGATCATGTCCTCTTATTGGTTATTTTCACCAAAGCTGTTCCCAAGGTTGGTGCATAAATTGTCAACTAATTATCCATGCATTTGATTAGACAGATTTTTTTTCTTTATTGTTTAGTTTTCTCAAAATACAACTTTTTCATTTTTGTGTGCCACAGTTTAACATCAAGTATGCCCTTAAAATTATATCTTGTATAATGAAATACCTAATTATTAATTAACAATGTTTGAAATATAATTAAAAATGCTTGCAAGACAAAGCAATAAAAAGCCATTTTTTATTTTTTTATTTGTAAACAGGATGATAAATATCTGCTCTGATTTAAATAATCAATTTAATTTCCACTCCAGAAAACCAGCTTATACTATAATTATCAAGGGTGGCCTTTTGTAAATGTTAAATTCTTTATTTAATTTCTCAATTTAATTTTAAGGTCTGAAGCAAAGCTAGACAATCTATCAACACAAATCCTATTATTAATCTCCATATTAATATAAACAATTTTTCAGAATCAGAATCAAGTTTGTTGCCAAGTAGATTTGCACTTAGAAGGAATTTGACTCGGTGTTGATGGTGCAGACAAAATAGATTTATATACAGAATACGGAATCTATATATACAGAATACAGAATCTATAGCTATATACAATATAAAACATACAATATACTTTATACAATATATAGCGTATGGCTATATACTATATACACTATTGCCCTAATATTCTGAGCACAATTTATTATGGGTGTTATAAACAACAATTGAGAAACCTGACCCACTGGTCTGTGATCCAGTGATAGCTCTAGCAGCACTAGAAAATAGGCATTAGACACAACTTTTGGAGCTGAATTTATAACTATTAAATAATTAAAAGATCATCACTCCTTTGGAACAGAGTTGAGATTCAGCTCTATGCAATGCCTCTTATACTTCATGATTGATGATGATAAACTACAGAATAGGAAAATCTTTACTATTTTATTTATTTTCTTTATTAGACATATCAAAACAAATTCTAGGTTTTACACATGGAACTCAAAGGTATTTTGAGTGGTTGTTGGTTTCCATGACTTTGGTTCCAGGTGAAGTAGTTCCTTTCTCGGTCCCAGCATAAAGTTGGTCACAAGAGAAAACCTGTTATCAGTTAGAAAGTAGGGTATTTTAGAGGTTGAATTAAATTAGAGTGGGAATAGTTTGATAAAAAAAAAAAAAACTTTGATAATCCAATTATACCCTTTGACAAATGGCTTAACATCTGACATTACAATGCTGAGAAATGCAGAGAAGTGATGTTCTATAAAACAAACACACCACTGTATTCAGTTGTGAGTATTTAACCCAAAGCTATGGTCAATGTCTTGACTGTGTTTCATTTAGAGGCATAAAAAGATGTCTATGATTGCAGTATTAATCTAGCTGCTGTTTACTGCCCGCCCCCCAGAAAAAGAATAAAGAAAAAGAAAGAAAGAAGGTTTGCAGTCGCAGCAGATTGAGATTGAGATTAATATCTGCTAGGAAGTTTGTTGGTCATGTGCGTGAACACACCTTCTCGCTCACCCTATGATAGGGATGCAGTCTGGAGGAGTACTGACGGTTTCCCCCTGTGAATCTCCTTTTATACCAAAATGCTGCCAATAGGCCATTATACAGTAGTTAGCTAAAGACATGTTCAGTGGTTGTCTGGAACATGTTAAATACGTTGATATGTGTTAGACACAAGTTCTTGTTAAGTTATGGATATGCACACTCATAGTTTTTGGATAAGCTAGACACCACGACTTATGAGAAACTTACACTTAAATTATGTGAATGATCAGATAACTTACCTGTAACTTATGGCCCATATATGGCATATGCCAGCCTATGCTTGACACACTCGATGCATGCCGACGTGTGCCAGTGTGTTTCAGCATACATCAGAATGTTCATAACTTGTACAAAAGGTACTCATAACTTATCCAACATATGACAGCATTTTTGCCAGATTTTTCATATGTCAAGCATATGCTGTCTAAATCGTCAAGGTGTGTTAGTGGCTTTAGAGAGATAATTTCAACTTAAGAGCAAACCCACCATAATTTGGTAGCATTTTGTTCACATACCTTAAACCCCTGTCCTTGGGATGTACTCTGACATGTCAGCATATCAGAAGGCTGCTGGCTGTAATAAATAGTGTTTAGCCGTTAAAGCAAGTGGCCAAAGAAAAATGGGAAATGTTATTAAAACATCTCACAATATTTCTTCTAAGATCATAGTAAATGCATAATTAATTCTGTCATGTCTCTGCTCCACATTGGAAAACACAGTTTAGCTCTTAAAACACCTGCTGACCAGTTAATTAACACCTCTGGTTAACAAACAGGTTGCTGCTCGGTTTGTCAACAGGTTTCTGTATATTTTTCTTTCATAATTACTACACGCTGTTTTTAAAAATCACTTATATCAAATCTTTTTTTCCTTTTGTTGTTTTTCTCTTTGCAAGGTAAAGATATCCTAAGGGAAACAATAAAGTTTATGTACACAGACTGGGCTGACAGGGACAACAGCGACATGCGCAGGAAGACCCTCCTGGCTTTGTTCACAGACCACCAGTGGGTGGCCCCAGCTGTTGCCACAGCCAAACTGCATGCAGAGTTTCAGTCACCGGTCTACTTCTACACCTTCCATCACCACTGTCAGACCGAGGCACGGCCAGACTGGGCAGACGCGGCTCATGGAGACGAGATCCCATATGTGTTTGGCATCCCCATGGTGGGAGCCACTGACCTTTTTCCGTGTAACTTCTCCAAGAACGATGTAATGCTCAGTGCTGTGGTCATGACCTACTGGACCAACTTTGCAAAGACAGGGTAGGTAACAGGCTAAATATAACAGAACTGATAGTGATCTGCATTGAATTAAGTTAATAGTGCCTTCCACACTTGTACCTTAGGTAAAAGGAGTTCAAAGGGACACTAAATCACTGATTATGTATTTGGGAATAATTTTTCTGTGGATTTGGTCACAGGTTTTAAGAAACCTGCTCGTGATTTATTTTTTCTAATAGATCCACTGCAAAAGTGATCCTTCCCCAGACTGAACACTTAGCACCTGTTGCTTTTCTGACAGAGACACCAGGAGTATTTAAATAGATCAAAGAACTGTACTTAAATTTTCAGTAGGAATTTTGTTTATTTAGGTTATATTTCCCCCCACAATGCACTGTTTTTATACCTTCTCCTGTAGGATGACCGTTATTGTGTTTAGTCATTGGTATTAGCCTTGATTTTAGCCTTATTTTTTTTGCAATTTCTGTCCTTTTTATCTATTGCTCTCTTTTTAAATATAGATAGCTTAGAAAAGATGTGTCCAAAGTGTCGTCAGTCTTTCAGATGATAATTTGTGGCCTTCGACCAAAATCTTTGAGTTTGGCCCTGCACAACTGGTCTGTAAGGGTCATGAACATTTTGTTGCTGTTGTTGTTTAGGGTGTGTGGAAAATATAAAAGTCAGGTACAAAGGAGCAGCCATCTTGCATTTTTCTTTTATTTTCAGTTACCCATAGTAAGACCACAATCATCCATCATTGTTAAACTGGGTAGAATACTGGTCACTGGTAGTGACCCACTTTATGTGTTAGGTGGGGCCGTTATTTTTACAGTTTCATTCTCTACAAAGATCTAACTTCTTTTCTTTTTTTTTAAAGAATACATGTTCAGTTTCTTGTTGGGCAGGTATTTATTTATTTTAAATACTTTTAAGAGACCGATTTTGGTCTTCCTGGTATATAGGGGGCCATACCAGTTTCTTCAATCTTGGCGCATTTGTATTTGTTAAATTCCATGTTCTCTTATATTTCTTAGTTTGAAATGTAGAGAAATTTACCTCTTATGTCATGCAATGTATGTTCTTCAAAAAAAAAAGAAGATTTTAATTAAAAGTCTCTGGACACTGATAAGCTGAAACTGTCATATAGCTGGGCAGAGCGATCCAGTATTCAAGCGAGACAGACAATGGAAAGTTCAAAGCATTTATTGACAATAACAAACAGATGCATGGATCTGCGTCGGCTGCGGGGGGAGGTGGGGCGCCACCCATCACTTGCACTCTGGTTGAGGGAGAAACACAGGTAAGTGACCACGATAATCTGACAGAAGATGATTATCCATGTGAGTCACTTACCTGGTTGAACAGTTCAGTCCATCCCCTCGGGTGAGGCAGACAAAGAGATTTGTCGCAGAGCCACCCAGAGTCTCCCCGATGCAGTGGCCTCCGATGAACAGACAGGAGTCCAAGCCAGGTCAGGCAAACAACTCAGAAAAGGACGGTTCTGCGATCCAGGAGTCCGTAGCCCGGGCAGGTGTTCCGATCAGAGCAGGAACAGTCAGATCCAGGGTTCCAGGAATCCACAGAGCGTTTAGGCAGGGTTAGGGCTCCATGAGTCCAACAGACAATACAGGCAGACACGCTTGGAAGCAGACAGGCAGACTCAGCAGTTGAGAGGTAGAAGCATGACATGACACCAGGAAAACTATGGAACTATATACTGCCTCCCTCCACTGAGCCAAAACAGGATCAGGGCACACTCAGAGGATAAGAGACAGGACTATGGAGCTTTAAACTAGCTCCCCCCAACGGAGCCAAAACAGGATCAGGGCCCGCTCAGCGGACAAGAGCCAGGACATGATCAGGAAACGACAAGACTACACTAAACAACCTTCAAACACAAACAAAACTCAAACAATAATCTGGCCCCAATAGCTGGGCTGAGCCCTATATATAGCAGCAGGAGCAAGCAGATAAGATGAAGATGATAATTAGTGAGCGGGGAGAGTAAGCAGGTGAAGTGAGCAATTATGTCAGCTATCAGAGCAGCGAACATGACAGAAACAGGTGAAATGGAACTTGGAAATGCTTCTTTAAAATTATATATATATATTTAATATGTTTTTAATATATAAATATATATATATATCTATATATATATATATATATATATAGATATATATATATATTTTCCACCTACTTTGAGCTGTGTCAATACTTAAAATAGCTTGCATTTGCTCCCCAATTTACTCAACATAAAGATTGGCTTTTTCAGACATTTTAAGTGTAAAACTCTTTATCTGTAATGTAATATGAATGTATGTCAAGGCTAAAGCTAGGGTCCCAAAATGAAACCAGAGTCATATTTACTAATTACTTTAACAGTACAAGTGAAGATGAATACGTGTTTATATACTTATAGTAGACAGTAAAATACATGGAGCAGCTGTTGCCCAGAATACTTCACATACAAATAAAACTTTGAGAGTCTTTCTTTGAAAGACAAAAAGTTAATTTAGAATCTTTAGCTTTCTATTAGTGTAATGATTCTCTCAGTTAATTAGCACTAATGTAAATGCAGACATGTAATCGGGGGCTTTAGGTAATATTCCTGTCGAAAATAGCTCTGCATGACCAAGTCCTTATATACCTGCTGTTATTGTTTCATGAATGCCAAAACATCTTAAATTGCATGGTTTTCATTAGACCCATTATTTAAGGTTAGAGTCATGATAACTCATTTGTTTGGGCAAAAACAATTTTCAGGTTTATTTTTATCATCTCTTGACTTTAAACTAAAAAGAGGAATTGATTATGTTGATCAGGAACCTACTTTCGGAAGGTTTAACTGCTCTAGTTGGGAATTTTCATTCATAATATCTGCCGGGGAACTTCAACTGATTCATTTTAAGCATTCTTTTTCTAGAGAGTAAAGAGTATGTAACTTCTAAAAGAAGAATGTTTCTAAAATGAAAATGTATTCTGGCTCTTGTGCAATACACACCCACTCAACATTAAACACATAGGTTCAATTCTAAACAGAAATATCCTACAATATTTTTATATTTGCAGATTTGTACTTTACAAGTTGCAGAAAAAAAACACAATGTTTAGTAATCATTTGTGATTTCCAAACATAATTTTGGCTGAAAAACCTATATAAAGTAGCTTGTGTCCTGGCCTGTGCCATCAGGTTGATTTTCAAAAGGCTTGCATGTATAAAAACACATGCAAACTCAATAAAGCACACAAAGCTGATCTACTAAGCAGGTGCAAATCAAATTGTGTGTCTAAAATCATCAGAAAACAAGGCAAAAACCTTGTTAATGACTAAACGTACTGTATGTGAATGACCAAAATGTACAAATGATTGGAGGAATATGCATATGTGATCCCTCCCAATAAGATTTACCAAAGCAGAAACAAACTGTAGGTAATTGCTTTGCATCTATATATAGTACATTTGAAAGTCAGGTTCAGACGCACACCCAAAAATACCTCCTGTCATTTCGGCCACAGAGGCGTCATAGGTACAGTGAGAGACTATGAAGATAAACTTTGTGCACATGTTAACATATTTGGAATTTAGTGATAGGTTCTATGTTCCATATCTAAACTTTTTAATTTGAACTAAATGTTTTAAAAAGTTGCTTGTAGCCCTTTAAAATCAGGCTATTGGGGAGAAGCCCAAATGTCAGTACTTACAAGAAATCCAGATCAGTATCTGGATTTTTTTAGACCAACTAATTTGAGCAAACAAAAAATGCAATTCATCCATCAATCCATCCATCCATTTTCCATCACGCTTATCCCTGCTTGGGACGCAATGGATGCTAGAGCTAGATCTCCAGCTGTCAATGGGCGAAAAGTGAGGTACACCCTTGAGAGTTCACAATTCAATTGAATACAGCTTATGTATATAGCGCCAGTTCACAACACGTCATCTCAAGGCACTTTGCAGAGACAATTCAACCGGATCATACAGTCAGACTGGTTCTAAGTTTTCTATGTAAGAAAACAAGCTGATTGCATCGACTCATTGAATCAAAGGCAATCGCTCACACCAACCATACTAGTAGCGACCTTTTAACAGGAAGAAACGTCCAAAAGGCACATTGTGAGCGGCCATCTTCAGAGGCAGTCTGGGGTTTCAAGGTGACCCCATCCAGGAAAGACAAAGCCAGACAGACAAGCTCCGAGACAGTTCCCATGTCAGAGGATGAAAGAGAGCACATACAGTTAGTCACAGTAAGAGAAACAGGACTGTCAAATATCAAGCAACCATTATTCTAGCAGCTTGTTAATGATTACAAGTGTGGTTTTTGTAGTCTCTACATGTCTCAGGATGCACAATTTCAATACCAGACAATGGGACTCCCAAGAAAACTGCCAATAATGTGAAATGCTCAGACAGAGCTCTGTGTTTTAAAAGCTGGCTTTAGCAGCTTAGAATCAAATAAAAACTTTGAACTAACACAAAGTAATAATTAAATCTCTCCTTTGTCTGTTCCAGTGATCCCAATCTACCTGTTCCTCAGGACACAACATTCATTCACACCAAGCCTAACCGCTTCGAGGAAGTCATCTGGACCAAATTTAGCTCCAAAGATAAGCAGTACCTGCATATTGGCCTGAAGCCACGCGTCAGAGATAACTACCGTGCCAACAAGGTTGCTTTTTGGCTTGAGCTTGTCCCGCATCTCGTCAGCTTGCGTGACGATCACTTAAATCCACTCACAACTCAGCTGCCACCTGGAGGTACCACCCGTTGGACGGTACCGCGTCCTGGCGCCCGCTCAACCCAGCAACCAGTAATGTCCACCTATCCACCGGAACTTGATCCTGACAGCTCAGAAAGACCTCGCATCACTCCCTTCCCAAGCGAGACGAGGGACTATTCCACTGAGCTGAGCGTGACAGTGGCTGTTGGTGCATCTCTTCTTTTCTTGAATGTGCTGGCATTCGCAGCACTTTATTATAAACGGGATAAGCGCCATGAACTCATGCAGAGGCGTCACCGTCGGCTCTCCCCACAACGAGGCACAACAATGGGCATTGGGGTTGGCATGGGAGTTGTGGGCGCCCCACCGCACAATGACCTGGCACTGAGTCAGGAGGAGGAGCTGATGTCACTGCAGATGAAGCAACAGAGGGTGGAACTAGAGCACGGGACACCCCTCCCTTCCCGCGCAGTCCATGGCGACCTAGAACCTCTACGGCCTCCCGTGTGTCCACCTGACTACACACTAGCCCTGAGGCGGGCACCGGAGGATGTGCCACTGATGACCGCCAACACCATTACCATGATCCCCAGTACCATTAGCAGCATCCAGCCACTCCATCCCTTTAACACTTATCCCCCCGTCCCAGCCCCTTCGTCAACGCCTGTCCCCAGCCACAGCAACAATGCCCTGCCTCACCAACACTCTACGACCCGTGTATAGGACCAGGCACAAGCTCTGCTATTTCTTTGGGCTCAGCAAGTTGCGACACATAAACTGCTTCATTCCAGCTTCACCTTTCACCAAACTCTATTCTTCTTTATTGTCTTTACATCTTCATCATCAAGCCCTCAGATAAAGCTGCAGTTTGCAAGATTTGAAAGCGATGAAATACCTCGAAGCTATGATCACAACTTAATGGGGACTAGATTGAAAACGCTCCTTGGTCATAACGCTTTTTGGTGTTATAGCCCGATGAATATTTGGTGCTTATGAAAGGTCACCAGTCATGCCGCTTTAGGCTTGTAGCTCTCTCAATCATCATCCAGACTTTTAATGTGTAGTTCAGTTTTTTGGCGCATGTATATCTTTCATGAAAGTGTGGAGCTATGTTTAACAAAGAGTACAAACACACATTGTCATTCATTTAGGGAGAAGATGATACAGTAGCAAACAGCTTTGTGTGAGGCAGCATATGTCCCAGCAAGCTGTCTGTCATAAAGCACTGCTTTCTTGAAGCTTACAAATTGCAGCTTTAAAGGCCCAATCTGGAAGGGAGACTTGGCACCCCATACAGAGCACTGTGCTCCAACAGATGTCTCTGCATTTTGATTTTCAGAGCTTATTGTATATAGTAAAGTATAGAGCTAATGTTTGACAGCTACAAATGACTAAATCTGTTTTAGATTGATGTACTTTCAATATTTACAGTGGTGTGGAAAATCTTCATACATTTTGAACTTATTTACAGTATCAATTGATCACAGTATGACCGCAAATCCCAACACATAGTAGGACCTAATTGTGGTTGGAAGGTGGTTTCTCAAACTGTTTATAAATAAAACCCAACAGCAGAGTTATATTCAGTCACAAAATCTTTTTTTAATGGGTAGAGGGGGGTCTTTCTTCACTTGTTTTCATCTAAAGACCTACAAAGGGATTTATGTATATTTTTTGTAAAATAGTTACAATTTCAGTCAAAAAGGAATTGGAAGCATCTTTGAAAACCAATTTTTAAGTCTTGCCATAGATTCCCCATTGAATTTTGGTCTGACTTTGACTGAGCCACTTTGTAAAGTACACGCTCAGTTTCATTATATGGAATCAAAATTTCCTAAAATTACCGGTGCAAATTAAAAAGAAAAGTAAATGCAGTCGTGAGAAGTAAGTCAAAATTTCATACTGGAAACTTATATGTTGCTTACCAATGTTGATCTCAATATCCGACACAGCTAAACACCTTGCTTGAGAAGCATTTCCATATTTGTAGTCAATTTGTTCTTCTTTAATTGGTAGTTTTATGTTTTTCTTTAAGGACGGGCCTACACAGTACAATATTTTCAATCAGTGCTCTCACACTGCACAACGAAACCACACAGTTTAAAAGTTAATATCATGATAGAGCCGATGTTCTAATCTGATCTTACTGGTTACACTGTGCGTCCTGTATACCACATGACAAAAAAAGTTTGCAGCAAACAAATTCTTGGATGACTGAAAAAGCGGCCCTAAAAAGAGGTTGTACAGGTTGTGCCCATTCATAAGGAATGTGTTGCTGCATTAAAATATTCCCTGAGCCTATATTGCTAATGGCAATTTTTCCAGTTCAGTTCAATCCTTACTTAACACATTCCACTAGTTATTTAAATAGGAACCTTTGTAAACAGTGTAATAACCTTGTGTAATATATGACAAGTTAACTAGCCCGCAATAGTTTTTTTTTTTTTTTGCTTAACAAAAATTTTTCTTGCAATTCATTTGCAAATAAAAAGAACATTTCTTTTGAGCACCACTAATGCAAGCACTAGTACCACCAGTTGAACTTATCTTACAATTAGGGAGCCTCTATTCTGATTTATGCAGTTTGGTTTTAACCTCCACATAAGTTTTATAACTACTTTGAACTTTTTTCTGCCATCCCTTGATGTTCCCTTATTTTTTTAGTTTATTTTATTTATTTTTTATTATCCACATGCAACATTTTTTAAGACTTCATTGTAAAACTTACAAAAGAAAGTTGAAAGTAGGAAATCTGCTCTCCAAAAATCCATATTTATGTTTGCAGGTGATCCTGACAGCTACAGTTAAATTACATTTAAAAAAAGTAAAAAGTTCCTGATTGCTTTTTGTTTATTTTGTGGGGTGCTATTGTCAAAAACTTTCCAGATTGGTGCTTAGCCTTTGCTGAAAGCAACTGACTACCATTTAGCAGGATATGGGCTGGAAACTAGGCTACCCATAAAACCCCACCACATCCATGTCTCGCAGGCTTTGCTCATTTTTATTGTTATATTTGTTTTACATTTGTTATCTCTGTGTCCTTATTCTCCAATTCAACTCATTTAACTGCTTCTGTCTTCTCGCTGCCATTCAGCCCCTCCCATGCATCCTCTCTTGTAGCTCTTCTGATTAAACTACATCAGCAAAATTCACTTTTTCTGTCCTTCTCTCAATCACTTATAGACTCTCTTTTCCTTTTAGAGTCTTTTATACAAAAGAACCCACAAATGTAAATTATGTATTATTAATAAATTGTAAGGATATGAATGAAAAAAGATATTCTGATATCTCGTTTTTACCAGCATTCTTGGTGCCAAGTACTGTGACAAAGTTCCTCTTTGGCCAGTGTCCGGTGGACCGCTTGCCGAAGTCCGTTCTGACTGTATCTATTGAAGAAAAAAAAAAAAAGGAGTTCCCATCAAAAGAAAGTGCCAACCCCTTTACCTTTCATTTCAAACCACACACTCTTTGTGTTTATTTACACTCAATGTTGCACTGTGGCTGGTCTCTTATATAAAGAGAAATCAGATTTAATATATCCTCATTTAGAAGAAAAAAACATATAAAGTTTTATTAACTACTTTGCTGTGTGGGATAGTTGCATGTTTTTTTTTTTTTAGTTACTTGCAAGTGTGTGGGTAGAGTTTTCATTTCAAAAAGTTAATTTCAATTGCCTTGATTCTTTTTCATTGAACTGTCTTTATTTTGGAAATGTTTTATTTTTTACTTTGAATATCAGCTGCACTTTGTGGTACTTCAGAAAGTATTAAAGAGATAAATATTTGTGTAAAGCTATGATTATAACAAAGAGAGTAAATATTTCCTCTTTATTTTTTTCATTTACTAACACCACGGCTGTGCCACAAGACTACCAGAGACTGATGAGAGCCTTGTTTTTTTTTATTTTATTTCCATTTTTCTTTCTTTTACAACTGTCAAGTTTGCACAGCTACTGTCTCTCGATCTCATCTGAGGACAGCACTTTTTATGTGACAAAAGGAAAACAGAGACATGAGTTCTTCACATGAATAATCTAAGTAAGGTTAATGTATGTGATTGACATTAACTTAATGCTTCAAGCACTGGGAGGACAGCTTAGTTGTTTTTTTTTGTTGTTTTTTTTTTGGTTAGCTCTTTTGTTGTCTCTTGGTTTTCGCTTCGGCATGGCGGGTGAAAGGAAAATATATATTTATGGTTAAAAAAAAAAAAAAAGATGAGAGAGCCGTGTATGATCGTCTCACTTGTTTCGCACAAACGAACACATGGATGGGTCATACTCTGGACAATAATGGGAAAAAACAACAACAACAAAACGTTGACATTAGGACAATAATGGGAAAGCAGTGATTTACTGGTGATAACTGTCCGTGTGTTCACAGAATACATAAGAACAGAAAAAAAAAAACCCTGATTAAACAAGACGTTGCTCACAAAATGTACCACAAAAGGAGAGGTGACTGGGATTAGTCCCCCTCCTGTCTGGGACGACCTGCGTCCTGTCTGCTTTGAACGACGACGCTCCTGGATCCAGACTGCCATCCCCTACACTGGGCTGGAGCGAGCTGGGAGGACGAAAAACCAACACAGAGAACCACGAACTGAACTTTATTTTTTATTTTTGAGTGTACCCCCAACAAACTGGAATTTGTAAATATTATGTTTGTTGTTTGGTTTTTGAGTGATTGGCCAGATCTTTACTTTGAGACAACAGGTGCAAGTTTAGGTGACTTACATGATTTTAACGCTCACGTACACAGCTGGTTTGATGCTCCTTTCTTTTACAATGCCTTGCAAAAGTGTTCATAGGCATAATACATACATTTTTGCCCACATTGCAGCCACAATTTCCTTTGTAGTTCAATAGGATCTAATTGAAAACTATATTTGTGAAGTGGAAGGGAAAAATATAAGTGATTAAATTTTTTCATAAATAAAAATGTACAATTTATGTGTACGTTTGTATTCAGCCTTATCTGATCATATAAGCTGTAGCAACCAGTCTTTTAGCTATTATCTAACAGTCTAATGATAATAATAATTGAAATGATGGGGCGCCGAAGGAGCAGTGTGGGGTTAAGGGTCTTCAAGCTTTGTGTCCTTACCAGTAGGTCGCCGCTCCCCATGTGTATCATTTACCTCAGATCAATAATTGCATTAAGGAATGAAGTTTGATTATACCTTTTCGTATGCTAATAATCTTTAACCCAAAGAAACCCAAAATCTGCCTCAAACAAGTTCTCAATTGGGATTAAACTAACTGTTTTCAATTAGTTGTGCTTTATAATAATTGGGAGTATTACTTTGCATATTGGTATTTGTCAATATAACATCTGAAGCCAGTTATGTTTTTTTTTTTTTAACAGTGTACAGTTAGGCCCTACAACAAGAATCCAAATGAAATGCATTGAAATCTGTTTTTGTATATAATAACTTTTCCAAGGCACTGTAATTGAGATGAAATCTTATAAGGTAGTGAGCACATGCGTACATTTATCAGCATACATGAATAAAATGAAAATCAAAAAAAGCATGGTTATGGTAAACAAACAGAAAAAGGAATGCCTCTGGCTCTGAGTAGCCTAGATCTTGTGATTATCTATGGTTGTCTAAAGCATACCATGCTCACTTGGCACCGTCCCATCAATCATAAAAGGCAGCTTTTAAATGAGATGAGTTCTCTCATTGGTGAAGAAGCCAAAGAACAGCTGCAGAGAACAGATGAAGGAAAGGGAAACAGGAAGGATTTGAGTAATGAGACAGAAAAGAAACAACAGATTTTGTTACAAATTGGCTCAAAGCAAGCCGTAAATCAAGGAATTCAATTTGTAATGCTGGTGTACTTGATTGTTGTTGTCTCACATTGTCTTGAGCATACGGTATATACCCACGTAACTGGGCGGTTGTGAAATCCTTTGTACTCTCTTGGTCTTATTTCAAGCTATATTCATCGTGGTTGTTCTCTAACTTTGCTATTTTTGTCTGTACATCCTGTTGATGGGATGACTGACCCAGCTGTTTGGTGTGAGTTTCAGTTTCCAGCTCTTCTTGAATGAACATAGCAATTTTTTATTTTTCTCTTTCTCTCTTTTGAAAAGAGTTTAAACCAGCCAACAGAAAACGGAAGCACACTCATCAAGTCTACATGTTTACACGACAGTTCGGATGTTGGCTTACAATTGGCATTCCACTGAATCAAATATCCAATTCTTGAAACATTTGATGCCAAATGTGACAGTGAAGGCTTGCACCTGTTTGTCTGTTTCATTTAGTCTGATTCAGTAACCTGCTTGAGGAGAAAAATATACTAAGGGGAGCATATTTGACTTTAAGGGGTTGAGAGAATTAAAGTTAACATTTCTATTTCAAATAGAGGCTATTACACACTGTATGTTGTGTATCTGAACTGGAAAACATTAAAAAACATTCTTAAAGAAATGCTTTACCTTCATTTTTATAGACAAACATGTCATGTAGAAGCTGCAAAACATATTTTGGCCACTTGAGGGCAGAATAATGATTACATTAGAAGTATTCAGCATATATCCAGAAACAACCATTCTCAATTTTTAATGCTTTAGAAAATGATTTGCTTTCATGCCCTAAGATCTAAATCCAAGTGCTGTGCAAAGATATTTCCCCTCTTACAAATGTACAAATTACAAAATTATTTTTTTTCACACTTGGAAGCTTTCAGAAAAAAAGAAATGATATCTGACAAAGAAACTTTTGAAAAGCTATCCATAGGCCTTATTAATGTTAGACGTAAAAAAGAATATCTCAAGCAACACATAATCCTTTTCTTTTTTTAATCCCTCACCCCTGTAAGTCTGGACTAAGGTACAGGGCCTAGCCTGGTCTGCCA